TATTCCCACTTCCAGAATGTGAACTCTCACCATCTACTCATTTCCTGCGTTGGAGCCAAAGTACATGATCCAGTTGGGCTGTCGTGCCTATATTTGCACATACAGAATGCTCTGCACTTTCTTTCTCCCTGATGTTCTGCACTCCAGGACTGCAGATTCCTTTCCCCCCAGGGCTCTATACTTTTCTAGCACGCCCCCTCCTCTCCATCCCTGCCCTCCCCAAACCAGCGGGCCCCTCCCCACCTGGGGCCTGGTTAAATATTGTCTCGTTCTATGCTTCTAACTGCTTCTCTTCTCCACAGTGGGATTAAGACTCCCAAAGGGAGAAGATCTTGTCTTATGTCTCCCTTGTGGCTCCATAACTTCCATCATCACACAGGTGGAACCCTGGATGAGTATTCCTCAGAGAATCAGAGACTAAGGCAACCCAGCCCCACAGGGCAAGATAGTAAGGTGTGCAGTCCTTGGAGGAGACTGGCATGCAGGAGGCCAGGCTTCCGGTGTTAGTCACCGATTCCTCTGATTTGCATCTCTAAATACATTATCTCATGGATTTTTTTTACCCCAAAATCCATGAGATAAACAAGGTAGGTTCTTTTTGTTGTTGTTGTTGTTTTATTTTGTTGGGTTTGGTTTGGTTTTGGTTTTGGTACTGGGGATTGAACCCAGGGCCTTTGCAATGAGTTGCATGCCCAGCCCCTTTTTATATATTTTTTAAATTTCAAGACAGGCTCTCACTAGGCTGCTAAGTTGCCTAGGCTGGGCTCCAACTTAGAATCCTTCTAAAGCAGGTATTTTTAAGTCCTCATTCTTATAGATGAGAAATAGATGCTGGAAAAGACAGAGAGACTTCCCCAGCCAACCCCAAACAAATGTGCCACCCATGCTGAGGGTTTCACTCCTGCATCCTGAGGATCAGAAGCCCACCAGGGAGGGAATTGGAAGGCGACAGCTGTGGCCTTAGGAAAGCACCATGTGTGAATCAGGCTGGCTCAAGGTTTCAGGCAGTAGATCTAACCCTGCCTATTTCTCCACTGCTTCCTCACTGCCTCCTCTTGCCCTTTCTTCACCATTTCTTATTGGATAGTTTCATTTAATCCAAAGCTAAGAACAGCAAGGCTACAGCATTCCTGCCTAAAGCAGGAAAAGAAGGCCACAAACGAACCCTAACCAGGGCAGGATGACTACGCTGATACAGACGCAGAGACTGGGCAGAGAAGGAAATGGACCTGAAGTGAGCAGCACCAGGTCCCTCTCTAAGCTGTGCTTTGCACAGACCATTATCCTTGACTCCCTCACTGGGAGAACAAAAATATCTGTCTCACTCTTTTGATGGTTGCGTGAGGCTGAAGTGAAACAGTAAATGTAAGTCTTTTGGGAATGGTACAGGGCTACACAGACCCAAAATGCCAAGTTCCTCATCCCAACCATTGTCCCCCCACCCCCCTGACAAACACCAAGATCTACCTGTTTCACCAACTAACAAGCCTGGTTCCGGGCCATACTCTCTTGCTTGCTTGCTCGCTTTCTCACCTTCTTTTTTCTTTCTTTTTCCCTTTTGTGGTACTCAAGATTGAATCCAAGGAGTATTGGGCTCCATCCCAGCCCTATTCATTTATGCATTTATGTATTGAAACAGGTTCTCCTTATGCTGCCCAAGTTGGCCTTGAACTTGCAATCCTCTTGCCTCAGCCTCTCAAGTAGCTGAGATTACAGGTATTTGCCACTGTGCCTGGCTTAGCTACACTCCTTTGATGTGCTGTTTTTTTTCTCTTGAAGTTAGCCTTGGGATTCTTTTAATCAGATTTCATCCTATTCAAATATTAATGGGGGGCTGGGGATTTAGCTCAGTTAGTTTAGTTCTGCCGGCTGCCTCGCAAGCGCAAGGTCCAGAGTTTGATCCCTGGTACCAAACAGAAAATATTAGTGGGTAAAGAGGGAGGATAATAAAGAAGAAACTGTGAGACAGGTTCCAAGTTAATAGGCCAATCTGTATGTTTGCCTCAATCCTTTCATAAGGTAATGAGAGCACAGCTAAAAAACACTGGCCAATGCTGAGGCAGGAATTCAGTCTGCTTTTATCCTTTGGCACAAATATCAGAGCCATGATTAACTAGATGCACAACATCCTGTAAATAAGCAACTCTCCCACAAGGGCTTCTATCACGGTGAATGTGCATCAGTGCTGGGGTTGAATTTAACTTTCACCACTCTCCACAGCCCCAAGGAAACTTTGGACCACACCAGGAGAAAATTTGGGCTGGAGTACTTTATTAGAATATAGGGCACAGTTTCTGATGCTGATCTGCATGGAGAAATTTATCGCAAGTCTAATAAGGCTACTTTAGTAAATCCATCGCTGGTTTTCCTTGAGTGTGGCTTATAATCCTAGAAGATTGGTGACTCTTTAAATCCTCCCATGGTTGGGCAGACAAGCATTATGATCACTAAGTTCAATAAAAATTGTTTGGAGATTTTTTTTATAGTGGACCTTAGGCCTTGTATGATAATGGAATTTTAAACACACTGTGCTTTAGACATTAGAATTAAAATAAATGATAGCCTGAAACTTGGAGATCTTTGCTGAAAACCCGAACTGCATTTTGGAAATACATGGGAGGAATCTCAGCACTCTAGCTTTGATTTCCCACCAGAGTTCGCATCTGAAGGAAGTCTGAGGGAAGGAAATGAGCTCTGATTTAAATATGTCAGAGTTATGGTAACAGTGGGATCCAAAGGAGACATGCAAAAGCAAGAACCTTCAAGTCTGCGATTCAGGGGCAAATCATGCAGTCTCTTTGAACACCTGTTTCGTCATTGTACAAAAGAAATGCTAATACTTGCCCTACTTACTTCACAGGAGTATTGCAAAATGAATGTGAAATGAAAGAACTGTGTGAGAAAAATCTTTGCAAACTCTAAATTAAATTGTATGTACTTTACAATTACACATAAGACAACCTTCTATCCAGAACTACCAATGTGAGCAGTATGGTTCTTCCTCTGTCTCCACTTGACCTCTTCCTGTGTTTCTGTCTCTCAAATCTGTCTCTTCCTTTCTCTCATAAGGACAACTGTTATCAGATTAAGAGCCCACCTTAAATCCAGGATGATCTCATCCTGAGATCCTCAACTTAATTCCATTTGCAAGACCTATTTCCAAATAAGTTTACATCCTGAGGTTATGGATAGACATGAATTTTAGGGGACAGTATCCAGCCTACTATAGCAACACAGGGCTTAAAATAAACATGTAAATCTACCATTAAGTGGATGGTGGCCTGCTATCTAAATGTCTACACTAGCTGGGATGATCATCAGCCTTCTTCAGCAGCTGCCAACAAAGGGAACTTCAGCAAACGTCATGGGTGATGCTGGCAGATCTTCTCTGACATGGGGAAAGACAAAAAGCGGAAGTATAAAATTCCTTCACTCATTCATTTCCATATTCTTTGTACCTAAAGGTTTCTGTCTCCTCTGCCCCCAACTCCTTCCATTTGACCTTAAATAGACCTCTAAGGAATAGAGCAACACCATTCTCCCTGTACTGTTATACTTGAAGAATGACAATGATGGTATCTGTTTAGTTTCAATTTTAATCTTTTGTCCTACTTTCAAAAAAAACTTACTAGAAAATACTGTAATTCAAGCTCAAAGGTAAGTATACATTACTAATGCTCTTTAGGAGGATTTTTGTTGTTGCTGCTGTTGTTTTTTTTTAGGTTGTTAGAAAGGGGGCTGCTTGGGAGGGTGGTATTAAACATGCTGAGTACATACCAGGCCTGGGAAAGCTTGGGTGCCTTACGGACATATGAAGAAAGTCCTCAGGGCTGACCCTGAGACATAAAACAAAGTTTAGAATTTTGCACTAAATATTTTGAACCTTGTCTTTGCAGTGCTTTATGAAGCTTCTTTACATGTCTCGTATTAATGAGGTAATCAAGAACAAGAGCTAATATTAAGGAGTGACCTAGTGTGCCTGTAGACCTCAGTGTGAATAAGACTTTGGGTAGGTTGCTCAAGCCTCAGTTTCCTCATCTATAAAATGGACAAATACAAGCAGACTATTTCATAATCCTATGAGCATCAAGACGCTCTCACCAGTCTGTGTCTGCCTTGCCGTATAATAACTCTGGAGCCATGTTAATTATAAGAATATTACCAGCCCCATAAAGCAGTCAGCACAGATACTATATCCCCACTTGATAGCCTCAAAGACATCAAGAGTACACACCACCAGTGTGGCAAGACTGAAGACTGGAAAGGAAGTCAAACAACTGCAAATCCCATTAATTCACAGTGTAATTAAACTTCTGGCAGAAAAAGGCACTTCATAATAGAATTTTTTGTTGTCCTTTCAAACTATAATCCAAGCAGCAAATTATGTTAGAGCTTTCTGAACCACCTGCACCACAAGAGAATTCGTTAATAGTTCTGAGGATAAAATTGTATTGTGTTGGAGAAATAACTGTTCCCCGCAATCACAGGCAGAATCCATGAAACCCAAAAAGACACTTACATTTTGAATCTGTAAAAGAAGGGGGGCAGGGGGCCTCAATCAAACAGAATGTAAATCTCAAATACATCCAATCCAGTCCTGTGACTAGGTTTTGAAGTGAAGTTCCACTGGAACGCAGCCATGTTCATTCACCTCTGTTCACAAAGCCTACACTGTTTACTGTGTGGCCTTCTACAGACAAGTTTGTTGGCCTCTGTTCGAGAACGCATTTAATGAGGAAAAATCTGAAACTATCTTTAAATACCAAACTGTATTTCTAGATCTCTTAGTATGTTCAGTCCCACAAAAGAGGGGTGCTTTATCTTTTTCATGAGCCAGTTTCCCCAAAATGCAATGAATGCCAAGACCTTAGAGGTGGAAGGTATTTTTCTCAGGAAATCCAGCTGAAGGTCCTGACTATGGTTACGTTTGTCTAATGGCCCCAATATCTGCATCTCCCCCGTTCTGGAATTCTGCACATTTGCAGACACACACGACTCACTTCGGTTTTGTCTTCTTTGAAGGTTGGTGTCGGTCTGGATGTTTGCCTCACTTCCTCCTTTTCTGCTGCTCTATCACACATGTTATTTGGTGCCAGCAGATTGTAGTAATGTGATTTTGTTTTCAGACTATTGGTGAATTTGTTGGACTGAGATTTTCTGAGGAGAAATCAGAGCAAAATGAGCAAAAAGCATTCTTCAGCATGGGCAGCTTTTCCACACCAAATGTCTACTTTTAAACTATAGGAAAACCAGAAACAGATTGGTGATTACAGTGCTAATAATCTACCAGGCTCTTTGCTAGGTGCTTTAAAGACATGAACTAAATCTTCACAATAAACCTATCAGGAAGGCTTTGTTTTAGGTGCTTTGTAAAGAAGCTCAAAAAAAATCTTATAATTTATCTAATACCTTCCAGGGACACAACCAGGATTTGAACCCAGGTCTGCCCAACTCCTGGTTCAGAAGTTAGCCTGCTAGAGTACACTGCCTTCCTAAGATCAGCACCAAATCCTCCCACTACCTTTTAAGATCACACGAGTTGGGAGCAGCACCCCCAGCCCTTAGGGACTAAACAGGTCTTCATGTCTGTTCCTATTTCCAGCTTTCCAGCTCAGAGTACGCTATCAACACCATTGCCCAGAGCTAGAGGAGGCGGCCAAGGGAACAGGACTTTGCAGAGGCCACTCTGGGTAACACAGAGGATCACCGCTTGCCTCAGTGTGCCCTCCAAGTCACCTTCTTTTATGTCCAGTTGATTACATCGTGTCCCTTTCAAAACCTCACTGCCCCCAGAAGAAGGTCCTGACCCCTACACCCGGGGATTTGAGGTGCCTCACAGCGTGGCCCTCTGTCTCCTACCACTTGCCCAGGTATACTCTAAACACTCCAAAGAACTCACCATTACCCTGAAGCTGTTTAAAGTCAAGTTCAGGGGATCTTAATTACGCCATCCTGTCCATCCTGACCCTTCTGTAGCTAGAAACTCAGCTTATTCCTCAAGGCTCAGCTCAGCTTAGAATTCACCTCTTGTGTGGATTGGAATGATAGACCCTTACCTAGTCTAGGTTACTTCTCCATCTATATCTTAACCACAACTGGCAGCACAGCCTTCATCAGCTGCAGTTGGTGCTGCATCTTCCTGTTTTTCCTTCTAGCCTGGAAGCTTCCTGTCTCTCTTTGAATTCCCAATGCCTGACACAGTGGAGCAACTAAAGAGCCTGTGTATCCAGCTGCCCACATCTAAGCAATCTTCATCTTTGGAGGCCTGAAGTTTGGACGATCATTGTACTTCTTGCTGATGCTCCTGATGCCTCACTATGATGCCTGCACTGTTCTATGAAACCAGTGATGATCAGTGGAGAAGCTGCATACTCATGCAGACTAGCACTGGGATGCCAAGTGGCAAAGGAGCCAGCTGACTTGAGAGCATTGTGGGAATAAAGAGAATCACTGAAAATGTGAAGAAACTTTGCAGAAAGATCTAAAATAATTTTCACAGCCCTGTAATCCCACCCTGCTCTTCCTCCAGGTACTGTGAGCCAGAGGCATCTGTGCAGTGTCTGTTAAAATCCAGCCAGTCTCACTGGTTTGCAGTCTCCCACCTGAGCTCTTCTGCTTCCTTCTCTGCTCTCAGCCGCTCCCTCTCAGCAATGATTTCATTGCAGAGCTTGTCATAGGGTTTGTCCAGGGAGTGTTCACCCATCACCCAGACCCACACTTCATGATCAGCTCCCAGCTTCCAATGGACCGATTTGCCATTCTCTGCAAACAAGACAAGATTTGGCTTGGATAAATACCTTTCTTTATGGAATACTGTTTCCCAGTCACAAAGGGTCTTTAGGGTGGGGGATTACATGAGGCAAAGAATTTCTAATCTCAGGAATAAACTGAATTCATAGGTACCAATGGGAGGGGTGGCAGTGAGTAGTGGTTGATAGTCCTATTTGTTTAAAAATATCATGAGTATGGCTCTTACTCATGTCCACTTTGAAAGTGAAGATGATAAAATGAAAGAAAAGCATTTATGGTATGCATTACCCTTTAGGGTAGCCTTTAGCATTGAATACCACAACCTCTTAAGCCTAAGTCTAAGAATCGCCCTGTAACCCAGAATTACACAGTTGCTCTGGAGTTTGGTGTTTCCGCAGTCATTAGCATCTTCACCAGTGTGTAAAAAGTATCATTTTAGAGTCAGGCTGCATTGTGTTCAAGTCCTAGCCCCACCAACTACTAGCTGTGTAACTTGGGCAAAATATTTAATTTCCTGAAGATTCAATGTCCTCATCTATAAAATGGGAAGACTAATATCTGCTATATAGGAATACAGTGAAGACCAGCCAGGCTAGTGATGACAAGTACTGCCCCTGGCACCTGCCACATAATAGGAGTTCAATGGAGGTTAACTACTATCTTCAGCCAGCCTATTATTTACTTATATGGCTGCCTTGAGATTCACACAGGTTTGAGAGAAGATAATACTAGCAGGTAGTATGATACTTGGTGAAGCTACTTAAATAACCCTTGTTTACAACTGGCCTCAGGGGTTGTACTACATTCTAGTCCCTGTGCTCCTGAAATATAGCCACACAGGGCAGCAACCCTAAAACCAAGGGAAGGTGGAGTGTGCTTAGGAGAGTCCAAGAGGAACAACTTTTAGATCTAAAGGTCCCAGGGTGAACACACTCAAGGTCATTGTGATCCAAAGTTGTCCTAGCTGAGACTGAAACCAGCCAGTGGTGTTGAGTGTGTGATATGGGGCGCCCAACAGGAACACATAGTTGGCCATAGTTAGGCCATAGTTAGAAGTAGGCCATAGTTGGCCAGGCTCGATAGTTGGAAGTTTATACTGGGATTTTGTCTTGTCTTCTTACACTGAGAAGATCAAGGTCTCCAATGAAAATGGCAGTGTATTGTTGATGTATAACATATTGTTGGCTCAGAGTGCATCACACAAGCAGTCTGTGAATCCAGACTCCACTTTTATTTCACATTCTACTCTTCTCGGGGAACTTGTCTAAGACAGTTCTAAACAGAGCACTTAGGGAAAAAGGAAAATAGACTCCATCTCCACTACAAAAGGATGTAAATGTATCATTCACAAGGGGATGTCCCTGCCACTGTTTCCACAAGTGGAGAAAGAGTGATAGATCCCGTGCCCTGGGGGATGGGCCCTGATGCTGGTGCTGTTTCAAAATGGTTCATTAACCTTCGAAAACTGTCATACCTCATAAAACTCCTTTTATTATGCTCTCTCAGGACAACTAATCATGTTTTTATTATGTCCACTTCTCAACCGTCACCTAAGTAACTCTATTCATGTGTGTGTGTGTGTGTGTGTGTGTGTGTGTGTGTGTGTGTGTGTGTGTGTGTTAACATCAGGAGAAAGACACTCAGAGAGGACAGGGGCAAAGTACCAGGGTAGGTAAAGAAGAAGAGCCAAGAGATTCTGCATCTCAGCCTCAAATTGTAGGCACACAGTCTCCAGTGAGCCTTGCAGTGGGCAGGCAGCAGAGACAACTCAGGAAGATGTCTTGCCCACAGTGGGAGAGAAATCCCAGGGTTGCAGATGAGCAGGGGAGGGTGCTTAGGAGCTGAGAGGAAAGGCAAAGGAGAGAACCAGAGTCCAGAAGTTTTAAAAGGAGGGCGGTTGTGAGAGTATGGTGAAGATAAATAGTGGTGAGAAGAAAGAGAACTAGGTGTAAATGTCACACTTGGCCAGGTGCTCAAGGCTGGGCATCTGGCAAAGTAGCACTGATGGTACTGTCTGACTCCTCACCTGCAAGAGCTCCCACAAAGGTCAGAAACTTCAGAGACTGGAGGAGCTTTAAGTGGTTTCCCACCACTCCCTGAAGTTGCTGGAGGATAAGGAAGCCCCTCTAGCAACTCTGAAACCCTGGACTTTATTCCAAGATGAGGGAAGGACTATTGAGGCCATTGCTGGGCTTTGTTCTACATGGGAGAAATGGGGTTTCTACCGTGAACAAGATGCAGAGCCAGGCACACAGGTGATAGACCAGGGATCGAACAGGTAGGGCCATTCCCCTGCAAGTAACCCAGACCCTAGGAGAGAAAGGGCAAGGCATCAGGCTACTTACGTAATGATTTGTTATTAACTAGGAAGCACTGAGGTAGATCCAGGCTAACACTCATGATGAGACAAGCCAGTCCTTGCCCTTGGGAAGCCTACATTCTAATTGGAGAGCTTTACACAAAGACACATGGCTGGATTCAAGGAAGGACTCACAGATGATGAGACAGTGGGAGTTGGGTGGAAATAGTGACATCAAGAAAATAAATCTGGTTGAAGAGTAAGATAAGGAGCTGCTTGGAAATTCAGAATAAAGCATTTTTTGTTTTACTAGAAACCACATGGACATATTTGGGAGGTATCTGGAATACAGAATCTGAGTTCAGAAGTGAGGTCGAGATTGGCTGTGTGCATTTGGAGACGGCCTTATAGATGCTCTTATGGAAGCCAGTGGCATTGCTGGGTTCACAAAAAGAATGAAGCCTAGAAGAGCTAGGAAAAGCATATACTTCATTCAGGAGGCAGAAGAAAGGGGAGAGAAATGGAAGTCCTGGTTTAAAAATAAATAAATGAATAAGGCAGGACATTCTGATGCCCAAGACAATGAAATAATGTGGAAGGAGATGGGGGCGTGCAGCTGAGAGAGAAAGGGGAAGGGATGATATGGATTAAGGAGGATCTTATGCAGCCATGGGCGTCAGAGAGCATAGTAACATGGAGACAGGTGGGGACAGGAGACTGGTGCAGGACAGAAGGGCTGGTGAGAACTGAGGCAGGCAGCAGGTATGTGGTATGGAGGAGTCCGTTTGTGAGGAGGAAACGGGATTCAGCCATGTATTCTGCAGATATTCATGGAGCACCTTTTATGTTCCAAGAATTCCATAGGCTGAAAGGGTAGAGAACAGAGTTTAAGAGCAATGACAGTTGAAAAATTTCTTTAATAGAAGAAACGCAGGCAGGGTTTACACCTGGGTTGTTGGGATGAGAGAGAGTAAGGGTGCTGCTGATCAAGTCAGGGAAATGGTGGGTAAAAGGAGTCACAGAAAATAGGTAAAAAAGAAAGGATAGAAAACAAGATGAGTAAAGGTCCAGTCTGATAACAGGTGTGAAGAGAAGCACATTTCTGCCCAGTGCACCTCTTTAAGGTAAAGTACAAGCTGAGTGTAGTGGCGCACGCGTGATCCTAGCACTCCAGAGGTTGAGGTAGGAGGATCACCACAAGTCCAAAGTCAGCCTGGGCTACACAGTAAAGTCATGTCTCCAAAGACAAAACACAAAACAAAACAAAAGCTAAAAGTATGAACGTAAGGGGTCTTGGTGGGAGAAACACTGAATCCTTTCATAAGTTAACACCGACCAGGTAGCCTGGATTTTCCGTCTACTTCACCTTGAAATCATGTAACACACTCTTAAACTGGTGGACATGAGGGAGGGACCTCTGCATGGCACTTCTATATAATTATAAAGTATCTGCTCCCACCCAGTCCTTGATTCATGTCTATGCACTGCAGTGCTCTTCACCTTTGCTGTCTCAGGTTCCCTAAAGGGTCCTCTAAAACGACCTTTTCTAGAAAAGTAGGTCAGCCTGCTTAGTACTACACCTGAAAGAACCTCCAAGCAGGGACACGCATTCACAGCTCATTCTGCAAAGAAGTCTGCTCTCAGAGACATCTTCCCTGCTTGAAGCACATATGAAACCTCTAATGGGACAACATTGTAAAATGTCACATAAAAATGGAGTGGCACATGTCCTAGGCTATTTCAGTGTTATAGGACAGTCTGATGCCACCCACAGCACTGGTGTCTGATGTGTCCCATATATGGTTAGTCCACAGGTATGCAAGAGGGAGACAGCTGGCCATCGGTGTGGACCACATCCTCAGGCATGGTGAGGGACAGTCTCAGGCCCCAAGACTAAGACTGGCCCTCAGGGAATGAGGACCTGGTCTCACCATGACTAGACCTAACTCAGATGGAGTGCCATAGTAGAATGTGCGTGTGTAGAATGGAAGGAGAGGGAGACATATCAAGAGAAAGGAAGAGGACCTTCTACTCTTCCCATCCAGAGAAGACCAAGGATTGAGACAACCGAAGCCAGACAGAATCAACACCAGTAGCCTCATATGACACGTCAGCAACTGTGATAATGACCTCACATGTTACAGGCATCCCTTTATGGAGGACTGGTTCCAGAACCCTCTGCAGATACCAAAATCCAAAATCTTGGACAGGCTGGGGCTGTAGCTCCATGGCATAGCACTTGCTTAGCATGGGCAAAGTCCGGGGTGATATCCCCAGCACTGAAAAATAACTACACAAACAAAAACATAAATAAATCGACAGGCACTCGAGGCCCTTATGTAAAATGATGTGGTGCTTACACAAAACCTACACTCACCCCCCAGGACACTTAAATCATCCCTAGATGACCTATTGCCTAATTCAGCATAAATACTATATAAATAGTTGTTATAGTACATTTGTAAAAGAATGACAAGGAAAAGTAAAGACTGTACATGTTCAGTACAGACACAATTTTAAAAAAATATTTTCTATTCTAATTTGGTTAACCTCACAGATGTGTAACCCAACGATACAAAGGGCTGATTGTGAATACAGTGGAGGTCTCACCCATGCTGATATAAGTATAGCACCCGCCAGTGACAAGGTTAGTAAAATACTGATTGACTTCCATGAACCACCACCGCAATGCGCCAAGTAGTGCCTTCCATTT